TATGGAAGAAGACCTACAGCTCTTCTATGGAAGAAGACCTTCAGCTCTTCTATGGAAGAAGACCTACAGCTCTTCTATGGAAGAAGACCTACAGCTCTTCTATGGAAGAAGACCTACAGCTCTTCTATGGAAGAAGACCTACAGCTCTTCTATGGAAGAAGACCTACAGCTCTTCTATGGAAGAAGACCTACAGCTCTTCTATGGAAGAAGACCTACAGCTCTTCTATGGAAGAAGACCTACAGCTCTTCTATGGAAGAAGACCTACAGCTCTTCTATGGAAGAAGACCTACAGCTCTTCTATGGAAGAAGACCTACAGCTCTTCTATGGAAGAAGACATACCGCTCTTCTATGGAAGAAGACCTACAGCTCTTCTATGGAAGAAGACATACAGCTCTTCTATGGAAGAAGACCTCCAGCTCTTCTATGGACGAAGACCTCCAGCTCTTCTATGGAAGAAGACCTCCAGCTCTTCTATGGAAGAAGACCTCCAGCTCTTCTATGGAAGAAGACCTACAGCTCTTCTATGGAAGAAGACCTACAGCTCTTCTATGGAAGAAGACCTACAGCTCTTCTATGGAAGAAGACCTACAGCTCTTCTATGGAAGAAGACCTTTAGCTCTTCTATGGAAGAAAACCTATAGCTCTTCTATGGAAGAAGACCTACATCTCTTCTATGGAAGAAGACCTTCAGCTGCTCTTCTATAAAGAATACCTTCAGTTGCTCTTCTATAAAGAAGACCTTCAGCTGCTCTTCTATAAAGAAGACCTTTAGCTGCTCTTCTATAAAAAAGTCCTTCAGCTGATCTTCTATGAAGAAGACCTTCAGCTCTTCTATGAAGAATACCTTCAGCTGCTCTTCTATAAAGAAGACCTTCAGCTGCTCTTCTATAAAGAAGACCTTCAGCTGCTCTTCTATAAAGAATACCTTTAGCTGCTCTTCTATAAAGAAGAGTTCAGCTGCTCTTCTATAAAGAAGACCTTTAGCTGCTCTTCTATAAAGAAGTCCTTCACCTGATCTTCTATAAAGAAGACCTTCAGCTCTTCTATGAAGAATACCTTCAGCTGCTTTTCTATAAAGAAGACCTTCAGCTGATCTTCTATGAAGAAGACCTTCAGTCGCTCTTCTATGAAGAAGACCTTCAGAAAAAGACTTCATAGGAGAACAGAGCATCCTTTTGGAACGCATTTAAAATTAAAAGGGACATAATACATACATAGAAAAACCTATATGTTTAATTTCATGAATTATATGTTGTATGTTATAGCAGGGCACAAAAGTCCTGAGAAAGAAATGTACGGAGCACTTTTTCTTCTATATCACATCCTCTATTCTTGAAAAACCAGGAACACTTTTTTAAGACCCCAAAACATTCTTATGGAACACTAATACTTCTTATCATCCGCTGAATAATATTTTGATAGATCACAGAAATCCATACATATTTTGTATATGAGACCAGAAGCTCAGTAGTCCTTTTTATAAAAAAAAAAAAAATATTTCTATACAAGAAAAAGGTTTTTTTCTTCATTCAAATGTATCAAAATATTTCTTAGGAAGTTTGAAATTCCTTTTACTAGATTTTTTCGAAAATTTTAATATTTTCTACTGGAAAATAAATATTGGACATTTTTGTTTTGGAATCGATTTTTTTCCATGATTAAGGAAGGAAGTGAATAGTTATAGTCATATTGAGGACTTGAGACACAAATTCGACAACCAACTCAACGTGACAGGAATACAATTTCTCTGAATACGAAAAATCAAAACCTAAACCAATTTTGATTGTTTCTATATATAAAAAGTTACAATTTCCCCCAAATTCTAACCATTTAATAAATATAAAACTTCCCATGATATATTTATTGATATATTTTGTAAACTTTGTCCTTTATCTTACCTTAAGTTAAGTTTTTTGTAATAAATATGAAAATGATAACCCCTTACTTTTATTCGATTTCAACTAACTACTACCATTATATGTTATCTGCTGTTTAATGTTATGTTATGGGAACATTGGTGCGTATGCTTTGCAACAACATGATGGCCAACCATTGCTACAACTCGAAGTACTTTTAGCATTTTGTTGTTTTTATTATTTCCGGCCTTCGGGGCATAGATGCTCCACTAAAACAAAACTTGTTTATCTTCCCCCAGCACAAAACCCCAATAATAATAAAATGCTATTATAAAACAAACGTAAACGCATCCACAAAAATGGTTATTACAACAGAATGCACACACCAACACACACCCATATTCTCAGGAAAAAGGTTAGTCAGGTAACCTTTTAAAAGCGAATTGTGTTAAAGTTCCACTAAAACCATTTATTTAATGGACCAAAAACAAAATGAACAACAAACAAAAAGAAATTATCATTTGTAATGGGGAGGTCGGGGAAGGAAGATGGCATGAGGTAATAAGAGTAGAGTGTGGGGTTATAAATTTTCTAGGAAGTAAATCATTTTTAAGTATGGAATTTTTATGTAAAAATTATTGCAGATTTTTTTTTATGAAGGAAGAGAAATTTGTGTGGGACATGTATTTTTTTCGACACAAATTTTACGTAAACACAACTATAAATTTAAATGTCAGTTATTGTTATATAAAAAAAAAACAAATAAAAAACTATGCAAGGTTATATGTATATATATAGTTGAAACTTTGTTCAATGGACACCTAGATTTTCTCATCTACCGACTTGAGGCTAGAATGACCTGGGATGAGTTTCAAGGATCTGATAGGCGTAGGTCTCTTAAAAGTATATTTATCAAGGATCTGGTAGGCGTGGATTTAAAAAAAAATCATGGATCTGGTAGACGATACTGGCCACAGTTATGGATCAAACTTCACGAAATTTTGCAAGTAGGACGGGTTCTGCCCAATGAAGACCCCTATTGTTTTTGGTTAAGATCAGTTAATATTTAGGGGATAAAATGGACCAACTTTATTTTTGTCTAATTTTCTTGTCGCTCCAGAGACCACAATTATAGTCCAAGCATCGCGACTTTTTACATGGAGAAGAGAATCGGGCCAAAGAATATGCATGCCTCCTTTGATAAAGATCGGACAAAATTTGTATTCTATAGCATATAGATTTACCCCCAAAGGACATAGACCCTAGAAGTTGATAGTGATGGAAGTAGAGAGTGGTTGACCTTTAAATTTTCGATGATGATCAGATAACAATATTTCACAGTAAAGGGAATCTGGATATTTTTTCGAAGTTTTTATAAGCGTAGATTTTTTTAAAATATTTATTTTCAAAGATCTTATAGGCGTGGATTTCTGTAGAAATATTATTTCAAACATCTAAGGATTTTTTAGAATTTTTTTTTAGGATCTGATAGACATGGATTTTTGTACCCTACACAACTATGCTTTCAGGGTATTATAGTTTTGTGCAGTCCCAAGAGTTTGTAACGCCGCGAAATATTTGTCCTAGACCCTCCTTTAAGTATACCGATCGTCATATCTAAACTAGCTGAGTCGATCTAGACATGTGTGTCCTTCCATTATAATTTGTAACACGATACAGGCCACAGTTATGGACCAATCTTCATGAAATTTTGCATGTAGAAAGGGTTCTGGCCAATGAAGACCTCTATTATTTTTGTTAAAGATGGGTTAGTATTTAGGGGATGAAATGGACCAAAAACTTTATTTTTGTGTTGATTTTCTGGTCGCTCCAGAGCCCGCAATTATTGGGAAAAAAACAAGCCTGTTTTGATAAAGATCGGTCAATATTTAGCGTGTCAAATGGACCCTGACTTTTGTGTGTAAATTTACAAAATTTGTACTCTATGGCGTATATATTTGCGCCTGATGGACATATACCCGATAAGTTGATAATATATCCAAGAGGAGTGGTTGTTCTTTAAATTGATACCAATAATATGGTCGTATGTACTCCGATGTGGGAGTTACACTTAAATATTTACAGGTGCTTACGTAATGAGATATTATTTGGTAACCCATTACCACACTAGAGCGCGGAACTATAGCGCAGATCGCTTTGACATTTTCTATAAGATTCCAGTTATGGTCAGGGACAACGCCTACAATTTTCGGTGATGATCTGATAATAATTTTGGGATGAAGTGGGCCGAAAACTTAATTTTTGTTTGTGTATATTTCGAGTCGATCTATAGGCCACAATTATAAGCCGAACATCACAAGACAACTCACGTCAGTGTTAGGAAGACGTGCAGTTGACCCCTAATAAACATCCGCAGAAAGTAAGAGTTCTGCGGTAGTTGTGTAGGGTATGGTATGGTCGGCCCCGTTCGACTATACTGCCCGGATCACTGCTTTAACAAAATTTTTTCAAGCCTCTGATAGGCATGGATTTTTTTTTAACAATATTTTTTTTTAACAATATATTTTCATTTATCTGCAGCTCCCTTTAAATTACATACAATAATATATATTTCCGGTTATTTTTTTCATCTGTATTCTGTTCATCTCTGAATGTAATGAAAAATTATACAATTATTATCCTGCATCCTGTCTGTTATGCTTCCTTGTATTACTCAGATTGATTGCTAATATTGCCATTTATCATTAGTTTGCTTTCGTTTTTTCTTTTTTCCTGATTTTGAGGTCACGAACCACAACCCTTACATTTGCACATCCAACAAACCAATCATCACAGCCATTGATTCAACCAATCATTCATCAGTTTGGTTCAGTTTATTGTTACTCAATCCTTTTCAGTATGCTTAACACGTGTCGGGATAATGTGCTAGTAATCGAGTAATGAACAAATTCATCATTCATTAATCTGTACTTTTTTGCACAGCATTGATTGCAAAATGTTCGGATGGTTTTGTTCATTACCAAGGTTTAATTTCGCATTCTTTTCGTACATAGGTGAAATGTGAAATGAAAACATAAAACAGACACCCACCTATATACATTACATATATAGTACATACATTTTCCGATCTGTTCAGACCTGAAAAGCTTTAATTTTTTAAAGATTTATTTTCAAACTTACCTGAAATCCCAGTAAGCTCCACACTTCTTTGTCGGATGAAAAGACACACGCCGTATAATTGTGGCCATTGAATTGATAAATTCGTACCGAATGTGCCAAGGCCACGGGTATCGCTGTTGTTAGGATTAGTATCCAGGCCATTATAATCGCTCTGAAATTGAAAATATATTTGGATGGGAGGTTGGTAGGTAGCTAGGATTTAATCGAAAACGAATCCTAGTATTTATTGCTGAAATATTGATTTGGGTGTTTCTGTTTATCTTTCGAGGTTAGAGGGTATGATAGGAGAGAAAAGAATGTGTTTAGCTGTTTTGTAGAAAATGCCACAGGATTTTGTTTCGTAGATTTTTTTGTAGTCATATTGTTGCTTTTGCTGCCCGATATATTTTTATTTATTTATGCTTGTTGTATTGTTGAAATCCCTTTACTGGAAAGCTGTTACTTGCCATCGTTTTGGGGGTTCGTCGTTGCAGAACTTTAGAGGTGAAAATCGTTGGCTTATCTATTTCAAATTGGATTTTTTTATTTTATGTGAATGTGGTTGACAAGTAATTGAGTGTGTGTGACGCTGGTGCGCTAGTGTCGCCAGTTCGACTACAACAGTTAACCTGAAAAACCTGAAACCGTAAAAGGAAACTGAATATCGGGGACCATAATTGTACTGCTATGATATCCCACTCTTCTTGCTATCAAAAAATCGATTTGTCAGGGCTGTGAGGCGGAACAATAAGGCAGGGTCGGCCAATTTTGCCACATTCTGAGTCGGAGTATGTAAAAATCAAAAGTCAGATTGAGAGTCGAGCAAAAATAGCTCGACTCCTGAGCCCTTGCTGTAACACTACATTTTGGTATGTCGATCTCGAGTTTCTGAACTGGATAGACTGACGATATCCATTATAACTTGTAAACTAAGTACATGTGGCATTTATGAACCGATAATCATAAAATTTTGTATTGTGGCTCGATTCTAAACAAAGACAGCCCTTATTGTCCTTGATCGGTTTATTTGAACTGATCAAAAACTTTTTTTGGCTCGAATACCAAACACGAACACCGGGCTGTATTGGACGATTTTAGATATTTCATCCTCTAGTCATTTATTTATTCACATGCCTTTCTTCGATGCTACTAGCATAAGACTGCAACCCACTGACTTTATATACATCATAACTTTTTAAAATAAAGTTTCTCCCTTCCATTCCCTGTACAAACAACTGACCACGACTACATTGATATTTATTCGCCTTAAGGTACTCAATATCCTTTTCAAGGATTTTAATACATTTTCCCAATGAAAAAAAAACCAAAGCGAAACAAAACAACACTACAAAATGGCAATCTCCACGAAATACCCTTTGGTCATTCAAACTGCTCTCACATTCTCCTCTCCTCTCTCTCTCCCTTCCCCTTCATTGAGGTTTAAAAAACACACACACACACTTACAATGTTGCATTTCTTTCCGTACGCAGTGACATACTCGTCACCGGATGTACCACAGCCAAAAATCGATCGAATGACATTAGCACCAGCGTGTACACACTGCAGTGACACGTCACCACAATCATGTACTGTACGAATTTACACCACAAGTTCCCAAATGGCCATTCGGGCAGGACATAGTCCGTTGCCGTAAACGGTACACAGAAGATAACGAATAGAATGTCCGATACGGCTAAATTGATGATGAGTAGATTGGTGGTAGATCGCATTTGTTGATTGGCCACCACAACTGTAAATGAAATTGAGAAAAAAAAGAAGAAAAAAAGAGGGGAAGAAATACAAAAAACATAAAATGTAATTATTATCCAGAGAATTGTTGTTTTTTTTAAGAAACATGCAGTTAAGATAATTAAATGGTTGTGCTTTTCTTTGCAAGTAGGTGGGTAATATCCTTTTTTACATTATTAAGGATGCTGTAAAAAGAGATAATTACATTTATTATTTTTATATTTAAATTGTTGGGGTTTTAAGCAACAAATTCTTAATAATAATTTTTTATTGTTATTAACATAGTAATTAGCGTTTCCCATTTTTCCATAGAAATAAGGGTTTTTCTTTTGCCTTAACTTTATTTATGCTTTTAATTGGTGAAAATCTTTAATTCTCAAATGGTTATTATCTGTTTATTAATGGTTAGGCTAATGTGGGCGTTTTTTAAGATATTATTTTTATTATTAATTTTGTTAACAGATTTTTAAAGCCACACGATAATTGGCATGTTTTCAGAATTTCGTAAAAAGGCTAAAAAGAGTTGGCTATGACGACGATTATTATTAGACTATTTACTTATTGTGACAGTAGATTTAATATTTAAGATAAATCGAATTTTGAGTTTAAGGCACGATTTATTACATGTAGTTCTAGGGGTTCTGAATACAACGATATACCTTTTTCCTTACAAAAATTCATCATTTTCTGAGATATAGGTCTATTGTCTTGTATTATTCAAGACATTTTATATTCACTAAGGCAATATGTGTATCAATTTGAATGGATTGAAGTGCTGGAGGATGTTTTTTTATATACAGAACATCGCATATTTTACACGGTGGAGGGGATCTGACCATATACTTAGAACTGCCGTTCCCAGGATCAAATAAACCAAAACATAATGTGACAAAATTGTCATTTTATGACGTAAATATTCACCTCGGGAAAACCAGATTCGAATACCAGTAAGAAAAGTAGTAAAGTCTGACTAGGTCGACTATATGATACCCTTCGCCACTTCACCACAACTGATGTATCCTGTGTGATCTTATCTATGTGTGAACCGACTAACATCCAAATCCATACACTTGCCATTCTGTAACCTATGCTAAATTTAATTTCATTCGGGCAGATATAGAGTAGTTTGCGTACAAGAGGTTAAATTTATGTAAATCAATTGAAAATTGAAATCAATGTCAATCAGACTCCCGTTGAATGTTTGATGCATGAAGTCTGTTGACTTCATGCATCAATTTCAACAAAACGTCATTCAAGTCTCAATTTGATATGCTGTGAACGTTGTTTCAATCGGACAAACATTAGGTATTTAGTAAACGGTTCACCTAAAATCGGACGAAAATATATATGGGAGCTATATCTAAATCTGGAACGATTTCAATGAAACATGCCAGGGAATTATTTACATTAACTTCGGTACGTTTTACAAAATGTGGTGCCAATCGGCGCAGCTTTGAGCATTTAGTGCACCATTTATACGAAAATATATATGGGAGCTATCTCTAAATATGAACCGATTTTCAGGAAACCTTCCACACATCATTCTGGACTCAAATTAGTACACTATCCCAAATTTCGTGCAAATCGAAATATATATAGGGACTTTGGTACATCATTTACAATAAATCGGCGAAAATATACATGGCAGCTATATCTAAATGTGAACCGATTTTCAGGTAATTTTACACACATCATTGCCAGTACGCTATGCCAAATTCGTGCAAATCGAAGGATATATAAGGACTTTGGTGCATCATTTACATAAAATCGAACGAAACTATATACGGGAGCTATAGCCAAATCTGAACCGATTTTCGCGAAACTTAGCACACATCATTCTGGACCTAATTCAGTACCCTGTGCAAAATTTCGTGCAAATCGAGAGATATATAGCGATATTGGTGCCACATTTACCTTAAATCGGACAAAAATATATATGGAAGCTATATCTAAATCTGTCCCGATTTTCTTTAATTTCAGTAGGGTTCGTCTTTAGGCCAAATAAGTGTCTTGTGCCGAATTTCATCCAAGAACAAGGTTCGAGAGGCGCTTTTAGCGTCATCTACTGCTTACACAAGAATTCTGCAAGGTTCTGGTTATGTGTGTAAGTTGACATACGAAATTAAGCATGAAGTTCCAGAACCTATTTTATATGTTATGGTTGATTCATATTTAGCGGATCAAATTAACCAAAAATATTGTGAAATTTTCATATATACTAGAATGCAAAATACCATAAACTATATTCCATTGTAATTTTATATGTCTTCCTATGCTCTATGACTTTTTCCATCACTTTCTTAAAAAAAAAACTTTCCATTTCATCTTCTTTTACCTCTGGCATTAAATCTACAGTACCGTTTCAACATTCATTTCATTTACTACCAAATAATATTTAAAGAGAAATTTTGCTCCTGGGCGTGAGATGGATGAATGTACTTGTCCTACTGGCTAACTGAGGACAATGTCTTTTGATGTCACATAAAACCGTATTCAACAGAAAAACAAGAAATGAAAAACGTTTGTCTCTTATTCGACTAAAGGTGTTGTCTTTTCACAAATAAGTGGCTAAAGTTTCCACGAACGAATAGATGGCGTGGAACACACACACACACAGAGAGAGAGAGAGAGGGAGACACACCGAAGCTAATTGTTAAATTCCATGTTATGAATGGTTTTTACGGTGTTATAATTATCACGAGGAGTATAATAGGCCGTATAATTTGAAAGTGTTTCATATTTTCGGAACTGATGGATAATAGGCATATTTGTCATTTAAACAAGGTGTCATTTTACCAAAGTAAATATAAATAAAAATATATGTTTCTAATACATCCCACTGTGCAAACAACTAAATGCATCTGCCAAGGTATTTCCGACGAAGACGTTGACTGTAGTAGGTGAGCTTTTGTTCTTTGCGTCGGAAGGAAAAACCAAAAAAAGGAAAAAAATCTTAGAGTACTACAGAAAAGCCCCAAAGAGCCTCGACAAAGTGCAAAACAAATGAAATCACAACAAAAACTGACACAGAGTGGGGCTAGACAACAGCAACAACAATAGACCTGCAACAATGACATCCTCCTCCATGAATAACAATGGAGGGATATTCGAAACAATGGAAACAAAGTCATCCTTGGGCAACGTAATTAGTTGTAATGGCAACAGCACCAAATGACAGTGTGAAACGACAACGAAACCTATAAAGGGCGACAATGTATTATTTTATATGCCAGAATATAACCGGTATTTTCGTGGGTGTGAGTAGTGAAAAAATGATTATAATTGCTACAAACGGTGTAGAAAAAAAAAACAGAAAAACCTTTGTATTTGCTTAAAATAAAAACAATCTCATATCCATGTACCTTGATATCTTATTTTTGCTTGCCTCAAATGTTTGATGTTTATCTTTAAGATTTCATTTTGGCACTTTGCCGTCTCCTTGGGATATTTTTGTTCCATTAAAGACTAATTTACAAGGCAGTGCCAATCAAAACAATAGATGTTTTAAAATTGTGGGTAAGAACAGAGCTTCTGAGGATAGCAAGTTTTATACGAAAAGGATTATTTCCACAAGGACAATAGGAGCTGAAAATGTTTTATTTTGTTATAATCTTTTGGTTTATTTTTCATGGTATATGTTTTTATGTTTTATTTTTGAAAACAATTGATTACAAATTTGTAAAAAATGTATAATAAATTTAAAGGACTGGAGTCGTTTTTTGCAAATACAAAAATATTGCCAATCACATTAAACCGTTCTTTAGATTATTGGCCAAGAAATGGTGGTATCTGCATCACATAGAATTCTGAGAGGAATTTTGAAAATTGTATCATATGTGAATCAACCTCGGCAACATTCTGGGTTCTCAACATTTTCAATATTAGAAAATCATATCACCTTTCCATTTGAGGTATTTTTTTATATTCTTTTTTTTCATACGAAAGTGACAGTAATTTGAAATTTTGGACGGATTCTTGTTTTTTTATACCCCTTCACCACACTGTAACAGGGTATTACGTCTTTGTGTATATGTTTGTAACAGGCAAAAGGAAACGAGATAGACACATGGTTCCTTTAATTTAATGTAAATGGTGAACTTAAGACCTTATATATCTTTCGATTTGCACGAAATTTAGTATAGCGCACTGAATTAAGTCTAGAATGATGTGTGTTAAGTTTCGTGAATATCGGTTCAGTTTTAGATATAGCTCCCATACATATTTTCATCCGATATAAGGTAAATGGTTCGTCAAAGTCCCTAAATATCTTTCTTTCAATTTCATGTCAAAAGACGACGTCTGTTAGGAGACTATGTAAAATATACCCAAAGTGGTGAAGGGTGTCATATAGTCGGCCCAGTCCGACTTTACTACTTTCCTTACTGGTTTTTAACTTCTAGCCGGACTTTTCAATTAAAAAGCAAGTAAGGAAAGTAGTAAAGTCGCACGGGGCCGACTATATGATACGTTTCACCAATTTGGGTATATTCACAGATGCATCCTAACTAAAGATGGGCAGTGGGCAAATTCCCAAAGGGTAAATGCCTGATAAATTGGGCAAACACCCATTTGTGGATTTGTTTGTTTGTTTCTGTTATCAAATCGATTTCAAATGGATAGTTTTACAATATTTTGAACACGTAGGTAAATACCGAGTATTTACCCGGGTCTGAGGGTATCTGGGTCTGAGTTTTGATATTCCCCCATACAACCGTACCTCCAGATATCAGGTATGTTTTGTCCATTAGAAAAATTTTGTCGACGTAGATCCACGTTTTCTATTTTGAGTATTTACCCAAAAATTAGGCATAAACTCCTTAACTGGCGAACCACTTGATATAGACGGCCAAAGTTATCAAATCCTGGGAATGAGGAGGTGTTTTTTTTTTATAAACTACGCATTCTAGGACGATCTGGGACTTGTGCTTGATAAAATTGAAATTGAAAAATTGAAATCCAAAATTTTCTGCACTTCATTTCAAATTATCTTTTACATATTCC